ATTGATTAACTTTCACAAAGTCAAAGTGGAAGTCTGAAAAAGTCATTCTGATTAAAGTGATTCCCTCTCTCTCTAATTTAAATCTAATATTCTAGATCTGTATTAGATCTAGATATATCTAGATCTAATTATTTTTTAATCACTTAAGTCTGTCTAAAGTCTAGTCTTGAATAAGTTTTACTTGTAACTCTAAGACTAAGTTTAATAACTTTTATTAAGTTAGATCTATTCATCTAGTCTAGATTTGGATTAGTAGATTCACTAGCCAAGTATAAGACATGTAGACTCCCCCCGCCTCTCTCTATAATCTATGACTGCATAGATGGCCAGAAATTAGCAAACGTCAAAAAGTTTGTCTATATCAGATAGTACTGGGAAGCATCATATCAACAAGCGCCAACATAGATAGATAAAGAGGTTGACTTTCGTGTTGCTCCCGCCAGTGCTGCTTTTGGCAGACTTCAAGAACAAGTGTGACAACGGGAGCACTCGGCATGTCTACAAAACTGAAAGTCTACAGTGCTGTAGTTATCCCGTCGCCCCTATATATGCATCAGAGTCCTGCACCCTATATTCCCGCCACACCTAAAAGCTAAACTCCTTCCACCTATGGTGTCTAAGAAGTATCCATAAGGTGCGTTGGTCTGACCACATACCAGACACAGAAATCTTAAAGCTGTCCAACATGCACAGTATCAATGCGACAGTAAAAAGGTCCCAACTATAAGATTTAATTAATTTTTTTTATAAAGCTTAAACCAACTCACTCTGTTTGCCTGTTACAAATTTTGAACACTTAATTTATCCCATACCAATGCTCATATCAAGTTGAAATGTAACACTTTTTATTTATTGTACCTAACAAACATAAATCAGTTAAAACATTAACCAATTAGTTAATTAATTATTGTTAATTAATATCTATATAGTTATGTTCTTTGATATTGGAAAAAAGGAAATACATTCTACATTATTGAGATATATAGTTGTAACTGTGGAGCTCTTTCCTTTTTTTTTTTTAAAGTATTTTTATATTTTGCTTTTGTACATCTTTTATCAGTTAAATCTGAAGCTAAAGAAGAGCAGGTAGGAGATGGTGTCCGTGAGGAGAAAATAACTCAGGTGATCTGTTTGTTTACTTCTAGTGATATGCTTGTTTACTTAGAACTGGTGATCTGTTTGTTAACTTTTGGTGATCTTTTTGTTTACTTCTAGTGATATGCTTGTTTACTTATAACTGGTGATTTGTTTGTTAACTTCTGGTGATCTGTTTGTTTACTTCTAGTGATATGCTTGTTTACTTAGAACTGGTGATCTGTTTGTTATCTTCTGGTCATCTGTTTGTTTACTTCTGATGATCTTTTTGTTTACTTCTGGTGATCTGTTTGTTAACTTCTCATGATATGCTTGTTTACTTAGAACTTGTGATCTGTTTGTTTACTTCTGGTGATCTGTTGGTTTACTTCTGGTGATCTATTTGTTTACTGCTACTTCTGGTGATATGTTGTTGTTTTTTTACTTCTGGTGATATGTTTGTGAATTTTATGTAAGGTTTCTATAGCTTCATTGCTTATTTTATGCAAAAATGTTACTTTAGCTTGCTCTTTATTTTTTCTAATACAATGTTTCTATAGCTTGCCTTGTTTGTTTAGTTTAAATAATGTTTCTATAGCTTCATTATGTAATGTAAATATAGCTTGAATCGTTTTTAATTAATGTAATGTTTGGATTATTTATTTATCTAATGTTTCTATTGCTTTCACATTATGCACAAGTGAGAAGTATTTTATACTTTTTTTTTCATTTTTAGGAGAAGGTTGAAGAACTTGCTGCTAGTAGTGAACTGCAAGGGTTTATTGAGAAAGATGGTGAACTGCAGGGCATTCCAGATAAATGGATAAATGAAGAAAAGAATGACTTGACCACTTCTTTGCGTGAACCAGGTGGTCAGAATCAACAGAGTTTTATTCTTATTGGTGAAGATGATATTCCAGAAAATAATTTAGAAGGGGACACTCCTGGAAATGCGACCAAAAAGTCTGACAGAAGCAGCGATGAGAGCTCTTATGATGTCATTGAAAATGACAGACTTGATGATCATATAGACGATGAGGATGTCATAGCGGATGATGACACCAAGACTGCCCTTGATGCTAAGGCAGAGGAGGATGTGAACTCCACAAGCATGGTGTTTGTCGAGGAATCTCCATTCAGTTATCAGGCTAAGTCTGGCTCCTCATTGTTTGTCTCTGCAGATGAGCTACAAGCTGAAGACAATGACACAGATGTGGCACCGGCAGTCTCAGATAAGGCTCATTTTGATAAAGAGGAAATTGAAAACTTGGACAATTCTGCTACTCAAGATAATGTATCAGTCAATAACTCCAGCTCTTTAGCAGCAACACTTGATGAAACTAATTCTAATCAGGAAGTTCCATTAGTTGATGCCATAATGTCCCAGGAATCAGAAACACCCCAGAAGGATGATGAATTTACAAGTCCAGTTGAAGAGTCTTTGAAAAATGATGATAATAATGAAAATTTAGAAGAGCAGGCTGAAGATTTGGACAACAGCAAAGAAGAAATCCCATTATCTCCTGTGCAAGATGTCACTTTGAAGGAAGAACTAGACACAGATGACTCTAATACTTTTGACATTCAGAAAGCCACTGAGGTATTATTTACGTGTCAGAACTCTCCAGGGAATGTAACTCATGATGACATTGTTCATTTGGTAGAAATTCTCAACAAAAACAATCCTACACTTCAGACTACAGTCTTAGATAGTCTTGTGAAAGTGACAGCTTTTACTCAGAACATTGTAAGTATTTGTTTCAAACATTTTGTTTTCTCCTTATTGCCAAAGAATCCTTTAAGCTTAACAGTCCTAAAAGCTTTTTAGAACATTTTTTCCAGGCATCATAATTTATATGAATCTTTTTTTTTTCTCTCCTGCAGCATACCTTAAGAGAATGTGGATGCCCTGAGATTCTTGTCCAACGTATTAAAGATCTGAGCTCAGAGCCAGAGTTTGATGAAAAACAAATGACTTCCATCTGCAATGTTTTGACCAACTTGAGTCTAGATCCTAAAATACAGCAGCAACTAGGCGTTAGTAAACTTTTGATCAAAGTTCAAACTAGATATTGTAGAAATCATTTGCATTATCTAACAGTACCCTAGTCAAAGCTTAAAAAAATTATAAGAAAAAAATAGAATAATAAATGACTCCACTCTATATCTCACATATAAATGTACAATAGACGGATGTAACAAATTGTGCTTGCTCTATTCAGGATGTTGTGCCTGTGTTGAGTAGAGTGGTGCAACTGGAAGGTGTGAGTGAACCACTGTTGCTCTCTGCACTACGCCCACTGGTCAACTTGTCCTCTGAGAGTGTTCATCACCAGCTTTACAGCAACTTAGTCAGCACACTCTACTCTTTATTGTGTTCTGGCTCTCATGCTGTCAAAGTCCTCAGCGTCAAAGTTCTGGTCAACTTGTCTATAAACAATGACTTTGTTCAGGATCTCCTGGCAGCCAAGGTAAATACGCTTTATCTTATATAACTTACCTTTGGAGTGGAATATTTCTTTTTAATTTAAAAGTAAATTTGAAGTAGAGCTAAGCCACATCTTAAAATACAGATTGCCTTAACTTAAAAAAAAAGTAGCTTTTGCTTTTCCTTATTGTTATCAATTATATTATCAAATTATATTATCTGATTTGCAAGCCTTAAGTACAGTGCCATTTTATAAGTAATCTATTAGATTGTGGTACAATTCTGTAGTGTACAAACAAAAAAGAAGTTATAAATATGAAAATATTCCTTAATAATGTATATGTTGTTATAAATATGTCTAAGGAAACAATGAGATGTCATGGCTATTTTTTTAAAATTTGATCTACATAACTTTTAACTTAAATGACTTTGTTTTATTCTTTTAATGATGTCATAATATTTTGTTCTTGGCTGATGTCCTACATTTTTTACATTGCTTTTGCAGGCACCAGCTAGCTTTATAAATGTGATGGACCCGCCATGTTCTGATGATTTGCTGCTGCGCTATGTGACCATGCTGACCAACTTGTACTGTGTCATTTGCACTTCTACAGAGCTCAGTCTTGATGCTAGCACTTTAGCTCCAGATTCTGTGTTTAGCATGTTGAGTAATGAGCAGAATAAGTCAGCCATTCGTGCCAAGGCCCTGAACCTGACTAGACACATTGATGAAGATTTGAGTTATGAAGCTTCTAAACTCAACAACTATCTAAGTTAGTCCAAATCTGAAAAACGTTTCTTTTTTTTCCCCACGTTTGAATAAAATTAAGAAATTATAAATCACAGCTAGAGAACTGTGGTCTTTTGAAACTAATATTTTTGGTTAACATTTTTCCATTGGACATTCCTAAATACAGATATTTTGGGGTTAAAAAAAATATCCATGAAATGTACATACCTAAAAGATAGAAAATTACTACAAATTCATATTAGTAGCACAAGTGAATGCTGCTTGTTGATTTTGCTTGGGAATATTTTATATCTTTGTTTATTTGATAATTTTGACTTCCATACTATTGAAACATTCAAATTTTGCAGTCTGATGTCTGTGTGAATTAAATCTAAAGGGCTTTCAGATGTGTGTTAAATTGAGGGTGCTAAGTTTGTGTCACTATATGTGTTCTGCATGGAGTGCTATGTTGTGTCACTGTCACAATTATTTGTTGTGTCTATAAGTACTCTGTAATGTCAGTGATATATGTCATCACTAAAAGTATTTTGCAATGAGTGACAAGTTGTGTCTGTTAGGTGATATTTATTGTTAGTGTTATGTAGTGTTCTTTTAGGTCACCAGGGCTGTTTTAGCTGTTGTTGTAACCTGATAGTATCATAAAGTGTTACTTAGACATTGTCTTAGTTACTTGAGTGAGTAGACTTTTATTTCAATATATGCTGTGAAATAGACTGAGTGGATATAGATAGTCTATCCATCTAGTTTGTTGACTTTGTTCTTATCTAATCTTATATAATACAAATGTTACTTTAAAAAAGAGAATTTACTGTTCAATTGTTGGTAGAGCTGAAAGTTCAGACATTTTCTTTGAACCTTTTTCTTATTTTTTAAATTTAATACTGTACATCTTGAAAATTATTGTTTAAATATTACTTTAATTAACTAATGGTATATTCTACATTTGTCAATTTTAATCAAGAATGAAACACCACTTTCACTTGAATACAGACTTGTTATTAAACAAAAGAGTTGAAAACTTTATACAAATATAGGAAAGGATCGTTATTGTTAAGAAAACTACAAAGATAAACAGTACAAATTAATGTACAGAAAGTCATTAGATGTTTTATTCTTCAGTCCCCATGGAAAGATTTTTAGATCATAACTTGTGAAGTTGATATCAGTTTGCATAGTTTTACACATACATTTGCAAGATATTTAAAACAAAAATAAATGGTCTTTTATTTCAATACTGTACTATCTTTTTTATAGTCAACTTTATATGCATAAGTGTTGCTTTTCTGCTATCTGCCTATTGCACTATATATATAACTTGTTTTTCATCCCATATTGCAGTATTATGCTAGATGTTCAATTAAAAATATTGACAAATTAAGATTTTGTTCTTTTTTTTTTTTTTTTTTTTTTTTACAAAGACAACAAATCAAAGTGTAAACATTTATATTATTTAATAAATAGTGTAACAAGAAATATTTAATAAACTTAATATGTACATACATTTCAAACACCTTTTTTTTAGCTTTAAAATAAAATGTTGACACTAAATTTCATTTGCAGAGTATGATCATCCATTTTTTGTCTGAGTGGATTCAATATAGCCTCCATTATCTTTACAATACTGAATGAGCTGATTCCAATGATGATCCTGAGAACAAAAAGAGAAACATTTTTATTTTAAAAGCAACACAATTTATTTTTACAAAAATAAAAAAACTTCTAAAATTCAATTAATACAATCCAATATAATATTGCTTAATTGTGACTAAAACTGAAAAAAAAAAAAAAGATATTCATCAAATAATTAGCATAGCATTGCAAGAGGGAAAAAAATTTATTACATTAAGGCAAAGGATATGATCTTAAAAACAGGTTTAACCACAGACATGTTGATGACAAATTTACAAAAATCACTTTCCCCATTTATGAGTAAAAATAAAATTTGAGAACATTGTTCATCGCTACTTTTCATTCATGACGTAGAAGTAAGGCCTTGAGCTGAGAAAAAAACTACAATAAAAGATTCACTTAAAGTTTACCCTAAGAGAGACTTAAAAAAATCTACAAAAAAAAATCAAATCCTGAAGAAGAATTATAACTTAAAAAACACAGATATTAAGAAAAAAAATTCTAATAGCTTCAGTGAAAATGACATGAAGAGCAAATCCTATAAGAGAAGTCAAGAAATAGTTTCATATATTATTATAACATTCTAGTAAGAATAAAAGAAGAGGCGAAAGTGATCAGCATATTCTAGTATCCTAAATTACTAACAATATTTAAACAAAAAATAAAAAAGAATAGGTCAAACCTACTCAAGTTCTTACCTGGACTAGAACATATGGGTTTCCAACAATGATCAACAAACTGATGGCTCTTGTTATTGACACATTCAGTCTCTTTGGATTACAGAGAAAGCCCAAAGAATGGCGAATGTCAGCACCAATTAATTTCTCATTGGACCTCACCTACAAGAAAAACAAAAAACATTCTGTCAGAGTAGTTCAATCAAGGCATCTCCTATGATATTTGAACCATAAGTCATTACACAGCTCTGGGATTTACTATCTTCCTTTGAGAGACAGATTGAAGAAAAGGACAATATTCTCCCATTTTAAAATCCTTTTAATTAAAAAAATTAAAAGATATCGTTGTATTAATTCCATCTGATATCAGTTTTATTTGCCTTTAAAAGATATAAAAGTAGGGGATGAGGACATATACATAGCTTATGATTCAAAATTAATGAAAAATATGTGGCAAAAGCATTTAAATTCCATATCCAGCATCTGGATGCAGGACACAAAAAATTTAAATTATAGTATCTTTATTATTTTTTTTTTACCATTGCTGTGTGGATATTTTATTAGGAGAGATGATGGGTGAAAAACACAAGCTCTATGTAGCTATGACTTAGCTAAGTCAGTAATTCCTCTATATTCTGCATTTTTTAAAACTTAGAACTTGCTTGTCAAAAACACTCAGGGTTATTAATTTTACCTAACTCAAATTTACTATTCAAAAACAAACAAACATTGGAAATATTTATTACAATTTTATTGCTCAGTTTGTTGTTAATCAAGAAAAAAAACACATACAATGAATATCTGTATAGACCAATGAGTTTAAAAGAGAAACTCACACATGAAAGAATAATCACTTGTTGCTCCTGACCTTGAAATTCTTCAACTGAACCAACTTTTATTTCTGGCAGACCAAGATTGTCGATCATAAACCTTATTTTTTCAACCTTTAAGAAGGAATGACATTGCAAATATTTTTAGGTAACTGTTGTTTTTTTTTTTTTACTGTATAATGTTTGAGTAAAGAAATATATTTACTTTGAGACATTAGAATAAGATAGAATCATGAAAGCAATTTAATGTTCTAATAGACTATTAATATATGGGATTGTGTAATTTTGGGTTGCATCTAAAGTAAATCTAATTAAAATCTATATCATGATTGGTAAATTTTTCTTAGCAAAAAGAATTAAAAATAAATTTACTTGTTTCTTATATGGAGTTATAACTCCAATGTCTTCAGGTTTTATGTTCTCTTTGAGCACCCCTTGAAGGTAAATAATAACTTGCATGATCTCCCCTGGATTAAACCAGGATGGGCTATTTGTCTCCCTTAGATCTAGTCCCTACAAAAAAGAAATGTACACATAGTCATTAAATTATTTTCAACAGGTGCACATAAATTTTTTAAATGCCATATAGCAGCATGAAAGGCAATAAAGGGTCAGATCAAATTGGATTAATCAATGTCTGACCCTCGTGGGAGGGTTCACACTAAAAAAAATATTAAAAACGTGTGTGGTCAGGAGAGATACTGTAAATAATATATCAAAGCACTGCTGCATATTTTTATTTGTTTGCTAACTCTAAAACTTTTAGATTCTCCCAGAAAAGTAATTTAGTTCTATAAACTCTAGCAATGAATACAATATTGGTTATATTGAAAAATACCACACTAGTTTTAACCCATTCCCTAGTTCCTCCAAAATTAGCTGAAGCTTTAATTTCTTACAGTTAACCTTATACATTGAACTCTTTCTGTCCGTAATTATTTTCATCGTTTTGATAGTATTATTCATTTTGCTCATTTGTATTTCACTATCCAACTTTTTTGTTTGTAATCAGAAAATGTTTTATTTGGTATTGAATTATAGGAGAAAGCATGCACTTTTTACACAACACAAATAAAAGTTTATAAAACCAAAATCAATTTAGTTTAATGGGGGTCAAATCAATGTTGGCATCAAATAGGAGAGAAAGAGTTAACACATAGAAAAGACCCAAGTAAATAGTATAAAGCTGAAAATATATAACTAACTCGAAGTCCATGAAATATAACAGGGAAGCCAGACTTTGGTAATTCTTTCCATTGGGACAACCTGTGAGTGAGAGCTGGATCTGCCAATGGCTGTAACTGGCTGTAGTAGAAGAGTCTTGAAGGTAAGTCTAAAATCCCAGGATGTGATCGATAATTATAGATAAGCATAGTCACCTGAAAAATAAATGAAGTAATATAAATAAACATGGTCAGCTGAAAAAGAGATCAAGTAATATAAGCATGGTCACCTGAAAAATACATGAATATAAACATGGTCACCTGAAAAATAGATGAATATAAAGATGGTCACCTGAAAAAAAAATTGATCAAGTAATATATGGTCACCTGAAAAATAGATCAAGTAATATATGGTCACCTGAAAAATAGATCAAGTAATATATGGTCACCTGAAAAATAGATCAATTAATATATGGTCACCTGAAAAATAGATCAAGTAAAAGGATTACTACTGACAACAAAAATATGTAATATTATTTATTTTCCTTGTATTTACTTCTTATTGTGTATTTATTTCTGTTACTGTTATATACTATTTTTAGTTCAATGAAGTCAGGAAAGTTCAATGCGAAGTAGCAGTTAAAGGTGCTGTTCATGTTGTACTTGTATCCATGACCGACAGGAAAGAGTGTTAAATGACAATAACAAACAGAAGCCAAAATTATTTTATGAAACAAATATCCGAAATTTGTTGGATTCAGGAACTTTAAAAATTCATTAACAGCCAAGATAAATACTCTGCTGATAGGCATATAAAACCATTTGAATTAATAAAAAATGATGTAATATAACTAGAACAGTTATCTGTCAAAACCTTTTCACTTAACCAAAAAGTTCAAATACATCACTGACATTGTCAAAGTTGAATCTACTCACCAGATTGGGATCAAATCCTTCATGTTCTTCAGCAGAGTCTTCTTCTCTTTGGTAAACATCTCTGTTCATGAGGCGCTCCAACAATGAAAGCTCCAGACCATACATTTTAGCATATGGTGACATAATGATCGGACCCAGTTGCTTTGGATCTCCAGCAAGAACAATCTGCAAATACACAAAATTGCATTTTTTATTCTACTTCAAATAAAAAGGAAGTTTGAGACATCTTATTCTATTATTTGAAATTATTCCTTAGTTTTCCCTGCACTGAACAGGTTCTAAAATATGATATAAGAGAATATGGTTAGGGTTACTATCTACTATCTAAAAACTGATAACAAAAGCACTTTACCCCCAAAATTAACATTCAAGAGTTAAAGGCCCATATAGTGTTGAAAAGATGGTTAAATGGCAAAAAAAAAAACCTATTCGCAATGGGTTTGATGGTATGATGTTCCATCACTTTGTATATGTTTTCAAAAAGTAACTTATAATATATTTTATTTTCCCCATTTACAGTTTTAAGCCCATGTAACCAATTCACAATTAATAAGAAAAGTTAGTAAAATATTGTTTCTAGATCTAAAAATGTTTAATTCTGCCACAATAGCCTAATGTGCGGATCACATAATTATGTTGCAGAAACCATCAATACTACTTAATCTTAGTAGATTAGATTAAAAAATCCAATGGTAATCTCAGTGTTGGCAAGTAAAAGTAACAGCCCATAACAAGGCAAAAAGATAAAGAAACTGTAAGCTAATGTAAATCAAACTGTATCACATCAAACTGTATACACTTTAGTCCCAAATGTAGTCCACAACCATTTTTGAAAACAATATTAAATAATTTATTTACAGAACAATGGATCCAAGTCCATATATTACAAGCTTACAAGCTTTCTACACATCTGTATACTAATGTATAAGTGACAAAACATAAGTCTAGTTCACATCAAGTTTCATGAAAATTAATGCTGAATGTCTGTCCAATGTCAGGTGCATCAAACTTTTACCATTCCCTAGTCAACAATTTTATCATAAGAAAAGAATAATTTTACATCACCTGTCCATTTAAATTGCCAGCTATAAGACCTATAGGAGTCAAGCATTCAGGTTCAGTAGCTTGGCCACTCTAGGAATAAAAATGATTGAAATTAATAAATATAC